TTTCATCATCATCATCGCAAATAAAATCATCTTCGATATCTTTATCTTGTCTGTTTCTAGGTGTCATAACCATTTTACTTGAAATAAGAACAGGATCAAGCTCGGTCCTATGAAGTGGGTAGGTATCACGATCTTCAACAACTATAGGAACATCGTCAGTGGTCTCGGCCGTTTCTCATGCTAACCGTCAAACAATTTACTTCGACGCCAATCATGCTTTTGAGGCAAGTAACGGCGATGTCCAATGTAGCATATTTTACTTCTCAATAGTTGGGATGATGTATCGAAGTTTACAAACTGGGCATTGCATATAACCTTTTGTACTACACCCAGACATGTAACCATAAGCAAGAAAGTCATTAATAATCCACATAACAGCCGCACGCATTCGAAAAGTCTCTTTGTTACATGCATCATAAGTTACTACCCCAACTTCCCATAGTTCTTTCAACTCATCGATTAACTGTCGCATATAGACATCAATATCTTTCTCAGGTGATTGCGGACCAGGAATAAACAATGACATCATGAAGTGTGGATCTTTTATACATTTTCATGGAGGCAAATTGTAAAACATAAGTATGACAGGCCACACGTTATATGCATTGCTCATGTTTCTAAAAAGGTTGAAACCATAAGTGGCTAACCCTAATCTTACATTAAATAGATCTCGAGCGAAGACAGAATATTTTAAATCAAATTCCCACCATTCTATAGCATCAGCAGGTTGCCTTGACCTATTCTCATAATCCACATGCTTATCCTTGTGCCATTTTATATCTGTTGCAGTCTTCCTTGACATGTATAGTCTCTGTAATCTTGGTTTCAATGGAAAATAATGTAGAATCTTATGAGGAATCTTCTTACCTTTGTCATCATTGATCTTGTATCTAGACTCCCCACATTCTGAACAATTTTTTCAATTTTCATTTTCTTTCCAAAATAGTGCACAATCATGCTTACATGTATGAATGAGAACATATCTCAACCCCAAAGCTCGTAAGAACTTTTTAGTATCATAAACAAATTTTGGAAATATGTTACCTTTTGGTAAAAGAACTTTCAATATATCCAACAACATATTGAATGACTTATTGCTCCACTTGTTCAACACTTTCATATGACGTAATTTTACAACCGTCGATAGCAAAGTAAATTCAGTGCAACCCGAATACACCTCACGTTGAGCATCCTGCACTAATTCTTCAAAATTCTCCACATCCTTTCTATCACTACAATCACCAGTTTTTCCAAAAATCGATTCCCCCCAAATAGTGTCCATGAAAGTCCCCATGCCCACGTCTTCTAACATATCGGGTAATTCATCATGATCATCGTGCTTAGTGTTTGTCATGTCATCTTGGACGGTTTCACCGAGGTTATTATCCCCAATGTATATGTTCGAAGGCACAGGTTCCTTGTGATGTACCCACACTGTGTAAGAAGTCATAATCCCTTTCCAACACAAATGAGTTTCCACAATTTCTTCAGTATGTCATTCAAGATTCATACAATTCTTACAAGAACACCAAATTTTTTCATTTCTTCTTGTTTGTGGCATTGCAAATCTAATAAACGACTTCAGCCCATCAATGTATCGCTTACTCAATATTTTCCTAATTGTCATCCAACTCTTATCCATTTCAATGCACCTATGAATATTAAATGCATGATTAAATACATTATATATACTAGCATATATGCTTCACTAAAAATATCCCAATTGCGCTACACAATTTAAAACACCACTAAACTTCTTAAAATTTAAACATGCATTATATTAAACATAATTTTATCACCATCACATCATACGAACTTTATAAATTTGTCACATCTTTCTACAATAGCATGAAATTGTAACTTGACGCTTTTGGATAAAAATCATGAAATTGAAATTGAATTCATTTAACTTCCACGAAAACGAAATCATTTAACTTATCATAAATTAAAATCAATCAAGAGATTTATCGATTAAAATTTTATGAAATATAAAAAAAAATTAAAATTTAACACGAAAATTACAAAAGGACAAAGAGTCACCTAGATATCGCAAAGTACAAAGAGTCACTCACAAAAGACGAATAATCACTTGAATATCGCAAGGGTAAATATATCATGTGTTGACCAAGTCCTTGTGTGTGTGTGTGTGTGAGAGAGAGAGAGAGAGAGAGAGAGAGAGATCCCATTGAATATATTATTGAAGACAAACTACAATGGAAATTTACATTGCTATATTTAAGTTTAAATATGTAAAACAATATATAACAAATTTGAATTCGGATAAACAGTTAAAATATCAATTCATACATAGCAAACAGATTTTTAATTGTGTTGGATTTAGAACAAAATTAAATTCTCTTGTCCCTATATTATCCCCTTGTCAGTAATACTCATCCCAATTAAATGAACAAAAACAAATATTTGATATTCACAAAAACAGAAGTATAGTTTTTTGTTGCCTTGTTTCTTTAATCCTATTTAGACTTAAAAAGTTGACCTAATTTTTTGAGTTAATAATGTAATTTCATTGAAATTATTAGATTAATATCAAGTTCTAATATTTAATGTGGAATCTACAGTCAATTCAAAAGTTATAATGAATTATGTCAACAAATTAGATTATAATAGTATTACTCATACCAAAAACCACATGAGTTTTCTGTTCTGTTCATATGGCTATTAATACATTTGTTTCTCATGGATGAAGACTTAGGGAACTTCTACACAGAAAAAGAATAAATACAAGTTAGCAAAGTCATCTCTTGCTTTCCTTATTCTTACATGCCAAAGTTTTCAAGTCAAAAGTGCCAAAAAAAAAGTTCTCAATTCAAGCTTTTAGTGGTTAGATCAAGTAAGAATTAATGTTCTGTGGCTTTGAAAGACAGAAAAAAATACCTTTGTTTGTCAATACTTGGATTCAACTTACGTGAAAACTAAAAACTATTTTAGTAAGCTGTAAACTTTTTTTCCTCAAGAACGTAGATTATTTATTTTCGGTAAAGAAGATATTCACAAAGCTCAAAATACAACTGATTCTAAATACAACATTCTAATTTCATGTTATAATCAATGTCAAGTATATATTACGTGACAAGATATTTACAAGAGCAGTGCTATTAGGACCTAATTCACTATAATCTTTAGATTGATTATGAACTCTATTAAACGTTAGAATTTGATGTTGATCCAACGGTTCTAATGAAATCACATCATTAAGTCAATAAATTAGATCAAATTTTTAAATTCAAATAACATTCATCCATTTACAATCACAAGTGTCTAATCGTCAAGTATATAAAAGAGAGATGACATGTTGCAACTACACCTTTTATTTTACTTTAAATGCAATCCATTACCCGAGATTTAAAAAAACTTATCCAACAAAACCTATGAGTTTGTTAAAGGAAACAACCATTCTTTCGGTGTTCTTTTTTTTAATCGGCAATTAAAAAAATTAACCACCTAGTAACCAATCTTTCAGTGCCCTTGTTTTCTAATTTGAAATCCTTAATTGCTATTTGTAACAAACTTGGGGACTTAATTTAGAAACCTAATCAATTATAGTAGAGGTGTCAACTCTGACCCGTTGATACAAACCCAAAACGAACCCGACACAAATGATTATAAAATTGACACGATTATTAAGTACGCATAATAAATAGTCTAGATTAATATTTAATACTCAAAATATATTAAATAATTTTTTTTGTTGGTCTTGACATGAACACGACTTGAATAACAATAACATGACATGCGGGTCACACGAATACGACACGATTGATACCCCTAAATTATGGTCTTTGGATTAGGAGTAGTCTCCTCACAATTAATCCAAAAATTATAATAAATTAAGATTATAATAAATGTATATAACCAACGCCTAATTGTCAAGTATACAATCACAAGATATATATAATAAGTGTCTAATTTTATCTTTTGGGTTCTAATCACACACTAACATCTTCCTAATTAGTACTATGCATGCAACAGTCAAAATTCATAAATTATTCAAACAAATCAAACTAACAGCTAGAACTCATGCCGAAGAAGAATAAAAATCTAAATTATTTTAAGAAGTAACATTCTAATTGCAAGAAGAAGAATATATGCACAAGTCTTTTGCGTTAAAATCACATGGATCACAAAAGAAAACAAAAATCACTGTAAAATTGTTGTAATTAAAATTAGGTCATCAATATATATACAGCTTTAGTTTATTGTTTACGTGTGAGTGTGTGTGAGAGAGAGGCCACACCTTTTGACCACTTGCAAGTTCTAACCTCGGAGAATGGCGGTGAGAAAGAAGACAACAAAGAGAATCTTTAATTTATTATATGCGTGCATATATATATATATAGAAAGCAGAGAGAGAGAGCACACTTTTTTGGACTTCTTGCACCTAAACCTTATGGAAGACTAGCGGCGGGGAAGAAGACAACAAAAAAGGGGAAGAAGAAAAAGTAGGAAAAAAAAAGGAGGGAGAAGGGGGTGGCAGGCTCTTTAATATTTTTTTTTGGGGCAAAATTATCGTTAAATTATTTTTATAAAATAAATTAAAAATTAAAATTAAAAATTAAAATTGCATCAGCCACAAAAAATTATTGTCGACCACTAAGTTCGTCGCCAACAAATAAAGACAACCATTTTTTTTATTTATCATAGAAAATCGTTGCAATAAAATATTTTTCTTGTAATATGGGTGAGCCCAAATGAGTTAAAACCAAATCAAACCTGAGCCCGAGACATCTGGATCATTTAACATCCCTGACATTCCTAATAATGTCGCAACCGATACGTCTCAATAATCCATGTTTATTGGATCGATAACTGAGACTGGGACCTTCAAAAACCATTAAATTCCAGGAGTCAACATGAATATTAATGGTGCCTAACATCCATGTCATTCCTACTCAGATTTGTCCAAGGTGTCATCTAAATCTTTCTATATTATGGCCTCATTTGGTCCAAGGCTGTGAAATTCTGGTGAGGAAGGGTCTAAGAAGAATCAAACCATTGGCAAAGATGACTGTGACTGCCACACCAAACATCAACAATGGCTGTCTCATGGTGCAAGGCAAGGTTGTTTCAACTGGAGTTCCAGAAAATGTTGCCATTTCCCCAGCAACCTCTGGTTCAGCTTTCATTGGAGCTTCTTCAACGACTCCAAGTTCTCGCCATGTTTTTACCATTGGAATCCTTGAGTAAGCATTTTTCTCCTTTTTGGTGTTGATGTTCATTGTTGAGCTTTGTGATGCAAGAGAACTTGCACAGAATAGGTATCTGCAGGGATGGTTGGATTTGTCCAGCCTGTCGAAAATTAGAGAAACCTCACTAGTCAGTCTTACACTTTTGAGGTCATCATGAATGAAATCAACCCCGGATGAAGAGAAAATATCTCTCCCCTTTTACTAAACCATGGGGAGCCCCGAGCATAGTGCGTCATGGATTGTTTAATTTGTGATATTGATCTTCATGACATCCAAAAATATGTTTTTCTTAATGTGAAGTTGTGATCAAGTAAATAATATAGAAAGATAATTAACCACTTTTAGGCTTATAGCCTCATAGAAAATATGGTAATTTGAGGGCTTAATGTGGTGCTGCTATCTTAATCTCTCAGATTGTAAGAGGAAGGAATCTCTAATCTAGAGGTATCATGTTTAGTGCCACACATATTTATCCAGGATCATGATCAGTGTAACCTTAGGGCGTGTACAACCATATATTAAATCTATATGTTTTTCGCCTAAAACAATTTTTGGAAATAAAAATCTTCCTACACTAATTCACTTTTGTACATTATCAGAAACTGAAGTGTGTATTAACAGGGATTACAAGTTCTTGTGCCTATTCATTGCCAAGATCTGGTGGATGATACCGCGTGTTGGAAAATCAGGCAGTGAAATTCCGATGGAAACTCAGATGCTCATTTTAGAAGCAAATGAAGAGTCTGCCCTCAGTGATGAGACCGCTTCTGAACCAGCTGCTGAAAACAAATTCTACATTCTGTTGTTGCCTGTTTTAGATGGACCTTTTAGGACAAGTTTGCAAGGGACTCATTTGAATGAGCTCCAATTCTGCGTCGAAAGTGGTCAGTTTGCTGCTCTTTTTGTTTTATATCAGCATGGTATGTGGAAGTCGAATTTATTTCCTTCAACTCCATTACCATTTTCCTTGATATTTTTAGCTATTTTCCATTGGTTTTAGGAGATCCTGATGTACAAACTTCACAAGCAATGGAAGCGGTATTCATAAACTCAGGGGACAACCCATTTGAACTGATTAAGGATTCTGTCAAGTATGTCTAGTTTTTAACAACATAGAAAACTATTGATTGCCTATTTTTTAAGGACTTGAATATTAATTGTATCAAATCATTTGTTCATGAATCTGACAAGCTGAACAAGGCATTGTTCAAGTGCAGCTCGTTTATTAAATGATTTTAAAAAATTGGGCTCAAGCTTGGTTTGGTTTGCAAATGAATGAAATTGAACAATCTCCCATACGAGTCAATCCAGAGATGTTCATGGACAGACCAGTTTATTTGCAGCTCTAATCAATTGTTAATTATTACAGACTACTGGAGAAGCACAAAGGTACTTTTAGTCACATTGAAAACAAGAAGGTAACAACTACTAACAAATATATCAAAACGACTAATTGGATAAGCGATCTGACTCTGTATCCAATTGACATAGTATGCTTCAATTGAAATCAGATCCCACCACATTTGGATTGGTTTGGATGGTGCACCTGGGATGCTTTCTACACTGGAGTCAGTCCCAAAGGAATCGAAGAGGGTCTTCAAAGGTTCATAAAACTTCATGCATATATCAGTTTTCGTTTAAGTGGAAGGCGCCTAGAACTCTTTTAACTCATACTATACAAAAGAATTTCATCCAACTTTACAGTTTATCTGAAGGTGGCTGCTTGCCAAAGTTCCTCATCATTGACGATGGATGGCAAGATACAGTAAACGAATTCCACAAGGAAGGCCAACCATTAATCGAAGGAACACAGTAAGGGTTCTCTGTTTATGGGATCTTTATCTTAGGAAATGATAGCAATGTGTATAGTTTTACTAGTCACTTATTATGCTGCTGTTGATCTATAGGTTTGCAACCAGATTGGCTGACATCGAAGAAAACAATAAGTTCAGAGGCTCAGGTTCTGATAATTCATGCACCAATCTTGGACATTTTATTGAACATGTCAAAGAGAAATATGGGTTAAAGTAAGAATTTCCTATGTCCTTGTGAATTTCAATTTTCTTCTGTTGGTAAAGATTTATTAGCTGTAAAATAATTCTAAGTACAGAGAATTATCGCATTATGCAGATTTGTCTACATGTGGCATGCTTTAGCTGGTTACTGGGGAGGTCTCCTACCTTCATCTGAAACAATGAAGAAGTACAATCCCAAGCTTGCATACCCAGTGCAGTCCCCCGGTAACATAGGAAATCTTAGAGACATAGTCATGGACAGCTTGGAGAAATATGGAGTTGGGGTTATAGACACTGAAAAAGTCTTTGATTTCTACGATGATCTCCATAGCTACCTTGCAAATAGTGGAGTAGATGGTGTCAAGGTGGATGCCCAAAATTTAATTGCAACTTTAGGTTCTGGATATGGTGGCCGAGTCTCAATTACTAGGCAGTATCATGAAGCACTTGATGAATCTATTTCGAGGAACTTCAAAGACAATAACTTAATTTGCTGCATGTCTCACAATTCCGATTCAATTTACAGGTTTTGTGCTCTAACCTCCTCTATCTAAAAGGTAATCCGAATTCAATTTTTATTCCTGTTTTTTTTGACATATTGCCAGTTCAAAGAAGAGCGCGACTGCAAGAGCATCAGAGGATTTCATGCCAAATGAACCAACATTTCAGACCTTACATATTGCCTCTGTGGCTTTTAATAGTCTTCTTCTGGGAGAAATCGTGGTGCCCGACTGGGACATGTTCCATGTAATGTTCATTCTCTATATATTTCTTTCCTATTCTCTATACATTTCTTTCCTATGCTGTATACATTTTCCTTTTTTAAGACTCACCTTAGGATGATTCAAGTTGATCAAAAACAATTTAGCCGTTTAGGAACTAATAGATGTGACAGTTTTAATGATTCATCGATTTACATAGATTTTGCGCAATGTTGTGGACTTTTGAGAAGAAAACGGTTGGAGAATGTGAACTGTTTTTTCTTTGTTTTTTTTCAGAGCAACCATACAACTGCTGAGTTCCATGGTGCAGCAAGAGCATTAGGTGGGTGTGCAGTATATGTAAGGTAAGAAATATGCGAGCAATAAGCTTCCAATCTTAGTAAACATGATGAAAATTCTTACATATTATTTACCATATGCTTGGCAGTGACAAACCTGGCAAACATGATTTCAAAATTCTCCGAAAACTTGTATTGCCAGATGGCTCTATCCTAAGAGCTAGGTATGCTGGCCGACCAACTCGAGATTGTTTATTTAAGGACTCAGTCATGGATGGGAAAAGGTATTTTTACTCACTCAAAATCTCTTCTGAACTTAAGGAGTCGGCATATATAATTAAGCCGACCCCAGATTGTTGGACAAAACTTTGTTGAGTTGAGTCATTCTGTTTAATTACTATGCAGTCTGCTGAAAATTTGGAACTTGAACAAGCTATCTGGAGTTGTGGGTGTTTTCAACTGCCAAGGAGTGGGAAGTTGGCCATTGAAACAAGCTGCTCAAAGCGTCCCAACCTCAACTACTACACTCCCAGCCATATCAGGATGTGTTAGTCCTCTTGATGTGGAGTTTCTTGAAGAGATTGCAGGAGAAAACTGGACTGGAGATTGTGCTGTTTATACATTCACTTCAGGTTATAAATCTTAGTCTGTTATCTTGTTTCCTTCTGGAATTCTGTTTCTCAAACAACTACTCTTGAGTGATTATTCTACTGTTTCCTACTGCAGGATCTCTTTCTAGAGTGCCAAAGAACAAAACCATTGAAGTTTCTTTGGATGTACTAAAATGCGAGATATTTACCATCTCTCCAATCAGGGTTAGTAATGCTCTTTCATACTAGTTCATGTTCATTACAGGTTCGTCAATTACTTAACGCACCCTCCTCCTTTATCTGAACATAGGACCGAGTGTGTAGAAGTATAACCATTAAACAAGATACAGGCAGACTTAGATCTTTCATACTAACTTTTCTGCATTCATCATGCATTAACAGGTTATGAATGAAAATCTCCACTTTGCTCCGATTGGCTTGATTGACATGTATAACTCGGGAGGAGCCATAGAAGATCTGAATTGCAACACAATGGGTGCTCCAGGGTGCTCAATAAGCATCAGAAGCCGAGGTTGTGGTCATTTCGGTGCATATTCAAGCACAAAACCAAGGTGTTGTTTGGTAGACATGAAGGAAGAGGACTTTGCCTATAATGGTGAGGATGGATTCTTGACAATAATACTTCAAGGTGAATGCAATTCTAGAGTCATTGACATTGTCTATTGAAAGGGGTGTTTTTTCATTATAATTGTGATCATTGAGCAACACCCTGTCTCTACCTATATGAATAAACAAAAACTAAAGAATACTTAACATCTTAGCTCAACAAAGTCTTGTCACAACTATTTGGAGTTGGCTAAAGCAAAAAAAATTGTAACATTAAATAATGAATACGTTATAATCAAGCTTGAAAAGAAGTACGATTGAGAAAAACCTTCACTTCATACCATGGGGTATGGGGAAAGAGCACAAGAGATAGTGATCGAATGATCCAATCAATCTATCTTATTATACCTTTACCCTTACTTGTTAACTCTAAATGGGGCATGCACTCTATAAAGGAAGGAGTTGCTCTTGTCTTGTCTTATTGATAACACGGCTATCTCGATGCAACGGTACTTCTATACATTTAATGAAGGGCACACGAACAGATAAAGTTCGTTGGGGGAGCTCTTTGCTAATCGAGGGCTTCACTTCCAATTTTGCTATTTCACTTCCCTACACTCAGCTTCAAAACTGACTAGGAATCTTACTCAGTCTAGTTAACCGATTCACTTTCACTCACTGTTTCGTTACCACGTTAACTTGAATAGCCAAGGGTTATGAGATATATCGGTTGTGGCATCGTGGTATACACTAAAACAAAAAGTTGAACATGATCGAGTGATTCAAACTATATCGCGGCGTTGCAAAATTGTATCAATTGATTCGATGACGGTAATTTGGTACTCGAAATTGACTCAAAGACGACTCAACCAAATCGTGCAAGACTCAAGGTTTACACATAATGTGTGATGTTATCGACTCAGGAGATGCCGAAGTTTACTCGTATTATCGTGCAGTTGGTCAAGTCGTCAAGACAGCAAAACCTCAAGAGCTCGAGTATTACCAAATATAAGAATTCGGTTGGTAGAAATACATATGATTCTTAAATTATGATTTTTGTGTCAATTAAATTTTAAATTTTGTTTGTGTCAATTGAAGCATGAGCTCTATAGAGAGAGTCAATTGAGCCCTTCTGTCCGATTTCGTTAAAGTATGTCACTCACGTGACTACATAGCACAAAAAGGCAAAATGACTCAATTGACATAATTAAAGAGTTCACGAGCTCAATTGACAAAAAAAAATTAGAAACTTAAAGGTCATATGAGTAATTTACTCCAACCATTTGTATCACATGAATAACACACTTCGTCACTTTTCGTTAGAAAAATTAACGGAGGCAAATAAAAGGGTTCAATTGACACAATTAGAGAGTTCAAAATTTTAATTGATATAAAAAAAAGAGTTTAAGGATTTAATTAGCACAAAAATCATAGTTTAAGCAGTATATGTGTAGTTCACTCAAGAATTACTATGTAGACATGGATGTGATTATTTGTACAAATTTGGTATCTCAAGAATGAAACCATACCGGTGGAGACTAGCTAGGCCCAACCCAGCTTTCCCTTGGGCCTCATGGACCCATCATATTATCTCAGAAACCCAAATTATCAGGCCCATTTTTGACCGACCGGCCCTTTGTTATTTTGTAGTCTAATCTAACCCTTTTCCCAAACGTTTACTCTCTTCTCCACTCCACACCTCCTTATCCTCACTCTCCCGTAAGCAGCCTCTCCCTCTCCCTCTCCCTCTTCACCTCTTTCTTCTCTCTCTGTCTGACCTTTCTGTCTCTACATACATTCATAAACATACAACAATGTCTTGTGCTACAAAACCAGTATTCAAGTCATTACCTGTGTCAAATAGTTGTTTCCTCTCACACCCATCAATCTACACCACCAAAACCTCAAACCCATATCCGTATCTCTTGATACCGTCCAAACCCATCAAAATCCATCTCTCTTGCTCTTACTCTTACTCTGCATCATTACTTTCTTCTTTCTCTCTCAAAAAGAAAACCCATTTTCCGACTATAGTCACCTATGTTGCTACTCAACAAGGAGAAGACAACACACTAGTCCTTGAACAAGAGCAAAAGCAAGAAATTCAAGAAGATTTTAGCTGGAAAAGTCAGGAAGTTGATACCGAAGCCCGCTTGACGGATTGGGAAGGTCAAAACGAAGGAGAAGAAGATGAGGGTGTAGAGGCAGTTGGAGACGGCGGAGAGAGTGGTGATGAAGATGGGTTTTTGGAGGCTGAGGCTGACACAGAGGAGGAGTACACCGAGCCGCCCGAGGATGCGAAAGTTTTTGTTGGGAATTTGCCGTATGATGTGGACAGTGAGAAGTTAGCCCAGCTTTTTGAGCCGGTGGGTATTGTGGAGATTGCTGAGGTAATGATCATATTTGATTGCTAATTTTTTTGGAGGGTTTTGTATCTTTGTATGTGCTGATTGGGGATTTCTTGGACATTTGATTGATAAAATTTGTGCTTTTGGTTTTGTATTGATGTGATTTAATGAGGCTTTAAGAGGGTTTTTGATATTTTGGTCTGTGGTGTTTCTGGGTATTGTTTTGTAGGTCATTTACAATAGGGAAACTGATCAGAGTCGTGGGTTTGGGTTTGTGACTATGAGTACTGTTGAAGAAGCTGAGAAGGCTGTGGCAATGTTCCACAATTATGTAAGTGCTTTACTTCCCACATAACATATGTATAAATGAATAGGAAAGAAATGTATAGAGAAGGTACATTAGTACATGGAACATGTCCTAGTCTGGCTCCACAATTTCCCCTAAGAAAGAAGACTGTTAAAAGCCACTGAGGCAATATTTATGAAATGTTGGTTCATTTTACATGAAGTCCTCGGGAGCTCTTGCAGTCACTGTCTTCTTAGAACTGCCAATAAGTGAAAATTCGTGAACGAAATTCGAGATTGAAAAAACTTTTAGATGCCATAAGATAGACTATAAGTTGACGCCAACCTGTAATTAGTATCTGAATTGTGACACGTACAGCAGATTAAGTTATTATCTCTGAAGTTCCTTGAAACAGATTCATTAAGTGCTTCATGATACTGGTGATAAAAAAAAAACAAAAAAGTGCTTCATGACACTGTCTAGTGATTGAGACTCAACCACCATATCCAGAATTGAAGGTTGCAATTAAATTTTGGACATCTACTCCACTACTTGCGTGGTTGCTATGGAGATCATCATAAAGTTCATAAACTTTTTTGGTGTCTATTAGCCCAACTCCATATTTCTCCAAGCTGTCCATGGATATGCCCCTAAGATTCCCTATGATACTGGGTGACTGCACCCAAGGTTTTTAAAATTGGGTCCATATCTTGGATCGATGGAGGAGGTTAAAGGATCGAGATCGTAGAATTAAATAAAGAATCGTAAGATTCTACTGACTGAAATGAGAGAAAAATATATGTAACAACAATACATAAAAATGTTATGACCAAACATAGAACTTGGAGATATGATTGAAATTTGATAAACTACAATTTGAATATTAAAGAGGGTTGAAAATTAAACGTGGGTTGTTACTCTGGCAGGATTATACAAAGAGAAATAGGAAAATTGAAGTATTTTGATTTTAACTTTCGGAGAGAGACATATACAAATGAGAGATTGGAAAGTTGAAAGCCAGATAAATAATAACTTTGATTGTTTGACATTCAAACAAAAAAAGTAAAAAGAATAAGGGAGAATTACACCTAGACTTCTGAGGTTTGTCACTTAATCACTCAGACCTCCTGACATTTAAAATATTACGCACAGACTCTCTAAAGTTTGTACGTGCATAACATTTAAATTCCTATTGTAAATATATCCGTTAATAAATTATATTTAGACTCCCCTAAAGTTTGTGTGTATATAATACTTAGACCTTTAAGTTTAAAATATTATACTTAGATAAAAAATATTCCAATAAAATATAAAATATAAAATATTTTAAATTTTACAACAAAAATTTATGTTCTATTGTATCATTTATTGAAATAAAATCAAAAATAAAAATTCAGTTTTTTCTTAAAAAATTATAATAGGTATACAATTATATTGTCTATTAGAATTTAATTTAGTCGTTTAAACGGTCAAATTAAAATACCAAATTATCCCAATTAAATCTAAAAGATATTGTGTCCATTACAGTTTGATTCCTTGTTTAATTTTTTAGTTTTGTTCTAATAGACAGTATATATATATATATATATATATATATGTTTTTTTTTTTTTTAAATAAATTTTTATTCTTAATTTTATTTCAATAAATGACATAATAGAACATGAATTTTGAATATAAAATTCATATTCTATTATGAATGCCTTAGACCCATTGTTTGATATTTTAGTTTTATTCAAATAAATTGTATAATTGTGTATTAATTACGATTTTTTTAAGAAAAAATTAAAATTTTATTTTTATTTCAATAAATGATATAATAGAACATGAATTTTAGTTGTAAAATTTAAAATATTTGATATTTTACATATGATTGAAGTATTTTTTATCTAAGTATAATATTTTAAACTTAAAAAGTTTAAGTATTATATATCTACAAACTTTAGAGGAGTTTCAGTGTAATTTATTAACGGATATATTTACAACAGGGCTCTAAGTCGCGTACAAACCTCAGGGGGTCTGTGTGTAATATTTTAACGGTCAAGGCGTCTGAGTGATTAAGTGACAAATCTCAGGGGTCTAAGTGTAATTCTCCCAAAGAATAAAAATGGAAGAATATTTAGTTATGATAACTTTCAACTTTTCAATGAGAGAGACGAATGAAGAATCAGACTTTTTTGTAAACGAAACAGACTTTCTGTTGCTTTTTTTATCCATTGGAATTTCCCAATAGACTAATAATTATGAGACATTCACATTTGTATTAAGTCTTTAACTATTAAAACGATAAATATGGATTGAGTTTGCTCAATAATTGAAGGTGCCTAAAAAAACCTAATAACTTAGATCAATTCAATAGCTATTCGGATCAGCATGCTATGATTCTATAAGATCCGGATCGAGATATATTAAGATCTTATGAATTTGAGATTCTGCATACAACTTGGATTGATTTTCTTGCACCGATTCATAGGATTTTAAGATTCTAGAATCCGGATCAGGATTTTGATAACCATGACTGCACCGGGTATGCAAGCTTAGGATTGTATTTTTTCATTGTTTCAGACGAAGGTAGGAGACCTCCCAGCGGCTAATTGCTAAAGCATGCCACATGTAGACATATCTGCATCGTGGGATAATCCTCTATTGCTTAGAATTTTTATACAGTTAATACACCTTTACCAACAGAAGAATATGGAAATTTGCAAGACCATCTGAAATAATACTTTAACCCAAATTTCTCCTTGATGAGTTCAGTAAACTCTTAAGATTAGTGCAAGAATTATTTGTACCACAGGCTTTGAACTTATTATTTTTTTTGATGTCTGCCATTCTGGTTGCAAATGTGTGGTTCAGCAGTAGCAGCATTGTAAGGGACTAGTTAAACTATGCAAGTTTACCAAATTTCCTAAGATCGCATTAATAGGATGCTTTACTGCGTTCCTTCGATTGGCAGTTGACCATCCTTGTGGAATTCATTTAGTGTCTCTTGCCATCCACCATCAATGATGAGGAATTTAGGTGAACAGCTGCCTTCTGAGAAACTGTGAAAATCATTGTATTATAATAAAATTTACTATGAAGCACTTTGTATTTTTAGGATTTGAATGTAGAATATGCATACCTTTAAAGTTTGAAGGGGTAGGTATCTTGTGCGGAAAAAGTCATGTTTCTGGTTTCCGTTGCATAATGCCAGTTTGGCCCCACATCCGTTACCATTGCATGGCTTGGCTTTGTTGTGTGCTAGAGCTTTCTTGCATCAAGTTCTTTGAGAGATCATTTTGTGTTTTGAACAGGATATAGATGGAAGGCTCTTGACAGTAAACAAAGCTGCTCCAAGAGGATCACGTACAGAGCGCCCGCCTAGGGTGTTTGAACCTGCTTATCGAGTCTATGTTGGTAACTTGCCATGGGATGTGGATAATGCACGCCTTGAGCAGGTTTTCAGTGAACATGGAAAGGTGGTAAATGCTCGTGTTCTTTATGACAGGGAGACTGGTCGATCTAGAGGTTTTGGCTTTGTGACAATGTCGAACGAAGCTGAATTAAATGATGCCATTGCGAACCTTGATGGACAGGTAATACAATCTCTCTCTCTCTCTCTCTCTCTGTGTTTATGACTATCTGCTTTGGGTGTTCTGCAGAGTTTGGGTGGCAGGGCCATCAGAGTAAATGTTGCTGAGGAAAGGCCCAGGCGCGGTTCATTTTGACTTGAATGAGATCATATAAGTAGGCTGATGAGCTTTTTTTTTTTATTTTCTCTGTTTCTTTTGTAATAGATTACAGTTTTCCTTATGAAATTCAATGCTTTTGGCTCACTCAAAAATGATTGGGTCTCTCTAAAGCTTGGATGTACATACAAAGTAGTAAGGCAATGTAAAAATAAAAAATATTAATACTTTCAAAAATACTTTTACACGTCACACACCATTGGCGGGTTAGAGAAAAATCGAGTCTTCTCTTTTGAGGCATGTCATTGGTAATCCATGCAAAAATTTACACGTTGGTAGGCATAGCTGGGTGAAGAATGGGATTAGAAGATTCATTGATCAAGAAATCAAAGAGAGATTTACTAGAAAAGAAACCCAAAGACCAAAGACTGGAAAGGCCACTTTCTTTTATATCTCTTTCAAACACAACAAGAATGTTCTGACTTAATACAGTAACATAGTTCTGCAGCATTGTCTGTACAAAAGTAAAAATTTCAAATGTACTAATGAGAAATGTAGACAATTAGTTATGATGCCATAGCAGATTCAGGAGCCCCGCAACTGAGATTCTCGGCTAGTCAGTGGAACATAACGAACAGAAGTCTCACTGCGAACACGGATCATCCCATCCAAATCCTTGTCCACGACCTTTAAGTCCTGGAAGGTCTTCCCAACCGGAATCACCATGCGGCCTCCAGGTTTCAACTGATCTAGAAGAGGTTGTGGGATTTCTGGTGCTGCTGCTCCAACATGAATAGCATCATAAGGTGCAAACTCTGACCAGCCAAGCCTACCATCTGACACAATGTATATAATCATTATATAAAAGAATCAGTCATCAGCATATGAATAGCTTGATCATTATCAAAAAATCCTTCCCAGAATGCATTACAAAAAATACATCGACATTGTCCCAAGAAGAAGATAACTATCGACAGCAGGGAGTCAATTGCTCTCTTCCTGGGGTCCATGAGAACTAATATGTAGACTCTGAGAAAATAAATTCTCTAAATAAAGGCAACACGCCAAAAAATATTAACCAAATTTCAAGGCAAGACTACATTAGACCCACCCCTGTGGAGAAAACCCCGGATACAAGCAATCACACCATAACGACAGGTATCTGCTGAACGAGGGAATAATCAACAAGAATCAAACCTAATTCATTGCACGTGTGGGTATTCAGTCCATAGACTCTGTACTTGAACCAAATTCATTGCACGTTTAGAATTGTCTTTGAGTTCTCCATAGAGATCGTCTTCTTTTGAGATTGCAGATTTTCACACTTGTCCCAAAAAAAAGAAAAAAAATCGAAGAGTTCCACACATAACATCTTGTTTTTCGTGGCCCAAAGAAATTAAGCCACGGGAAAAGTCACTTGGCATAGTTATTGCTTTGTATATCATATTTGAACAATCCATTTATCAAATGACTCAAGCCACATAGAAGGTGAGCCTCTCAAAATAAAAATCATGTAAAGAAAGGCTGTGGTTCATTTTGAAACATACCACCAACATGCACTGAGAGGGAACCTTCTTTTAGCAAAGGAGCTGCTGCGCTTTTTTGGATATTCTGGATTGAAGTGGTTGACAATTCAGGAATATGTTCCACACCAACAGCACGGCCTTGTGGTCCCACCATAAGTGCAAAGCATGCTGTCAAATAACCTGTACCTACATAATAGAATTGCCACAAGAAATAGAAACTATTCAGTCTGCAGTAAAAAAGTTTTCACAAATGTTCAGAAGTTAAATTTCATGCCAATACAATAGCATATTTCTTTCAGTGCACAAAACTATGGCTCCACATGCATTTCCCCGAATGCAGGATAATAAACGAATGCAAATGAGGGGATTGGGGGTATAGGGTACAGTACCCCACAAAACTGGATTTCATCACTTTACCAACTTTACCAGCATCCATTAGAATTGCTAAATTGCACTAGAGTCACAAAGACAGGAGATCATATAAAACTAGGCATTTTTTTGCACATATTGTAGGAAAACAACTTTAAGGATGTGAATGAAGCCACAAGAAACAATTTTATAAATCCACACCAATGATCAAAATTTTGTTTCGGTGCATTGTTTTTGTCACCTAGGAATCTGAAACGTTTTGACCCATTTTGAAAACAGAATGAAAAAAAATAAAAAATTTAAGAATTATTTTTTCAACACATTGGTCAAAATATACTAAAATATTTTGAAATACCTTGAAACATTTAGAAATAATTGTGCAAATGCATTGAAATATAACAAAATATGTCGAAACATTTTGGAACACCTCGAAATATTAGAATTTTGATTTCATCGCTGATTCGTTTCTTTCTTCTTGGAAACGAAAACGTTTCGGATGTTTCAACCGTTTCGAAACGATATTTTGATCCTTGATCCACACGCAATATATATACGGTCTAAGTTTTTACATACATGAAGCATTCAAAAAGTTGTATGCAGAATGGCAACTATGTAAGTTCTCACAAAGCCTTTCAGCAGAAATCTAGCATCCTAAAGTTTGAAGGCATTAACAGACACATCATTATCCAACCAATGGGTGATAAATATACCAGAACCAACATCCAAAGCATGCATGCCAGGTTGCAAGTTTTGCTCCAACAACTCGAGGCACATGGCGTGCATATGAGGTGCAGAAATAGTAGCATTGTAACCTATCTGCATTGGGCTGTCAACATAAGGTGGAGTTCCATCAGGTACAAACAAAGCCCTATCTATAGTCTCCATAACTTCCGCTACATTCTTTGACCTAAACACTCCATAACTCTGCAAATGCTCCACCATTCCTTTGTTTTTATTAATGCCACTGCCAGTCCAGAATCTCTGGGAACAGACACAAAAAAAGAATTGAACAAAGAAATAGCACATAAATGCCTCTCATGACCTATTACAAGGTGGAAAAGAAATTGGAAAGTAAAGTGAAATTAATATTTCGGGAGAAAATGGGGATGAAAGACAGTTGTAAAATTCTAGGTAAAGCCACTACTACAAAAAGTTCAGGGATCTTTTCTCCCATCAACAACCTTGCTCATATAAAGCCTCTTCTCCAAACGTGATCAAACTGATGGGCATGGAACATAGGCATCCGAAGCAGCAATAGCTTTTGCCATATCTCATCATAATTGTTCACAAGACAGAAACTAGATATTTAGACCATACCTTTCCCATTACACATTTCATTATTTTGTAGACAATAATTCACGGAATCATTACTCAAATTAAGTACTTTCCCACTGATTATGCTTGGTTTATATATTCCTTCTCATATTTTTACATTACTAAACCCAATTAATTCTTATGAATGAATCAACAAATGGGCTGCGATTTCTAAAATTATATTTTGTCAGATTGAGCCGGGACTAGGCTGTAAATAAAACCAAAACTACCCAAGCTTGACTTGATAAAGTAATCCCCTTGCAAGTCATGCTTCAAAACACTTCAAAATTTTCAAGCTTGCAATATGGTTGCATTACATCTAACAATCCTACAATTGAAATAATACGTAGAAGGACAAACCACCTGCTTCTTGGGCAACAACGACAATTAAAAGTCTTCATTTCGGGTAACTGCAGACTAAATAGATGTATAAGTTTGAGCACAACTGAAATTATGCTCTCAGTCACCAACTCACCATATTCACTCATTTCCTCTGACTAAGACAATATTTGTGAACAAAACATCTAAGAAGCCATTAGAAATTGAATTTTTTCGTGATAGACCACACAAATTAATTGTGCAGAAAAACTAATTAATCGATAAGATACTCCAATTGCAAGTTGTAAAGAAATTGAAAACAACCAAACCTAATTCAGCTCTTAAGGATACTATCCAAATCTAATACAGCTCTGATCACAATGAGACGATCACAAATTCAAAACTATCACAGAGTATTTATTTCAATAGCAGTTGATCCCAAATTCGCTAAACATCGAAATTCAAGAAATAATCAAACCATATCACTATGATTAACCAATTAAATTTATAAAGAGACCAAAAATAATGAAATGAGCACAAATACAAAATGGAATAAATAATCTACAGCGTATGGGGTGTGTGTGTGTGTGAGAGAGAGAGAGAGAGTACTTCCATCTTGGTGAAGAGAGAGTTCCCCGTGGAGACGCTATAATTTGTATGACGGCAAAAGGATAAGACGGTAGCCGAGAGAGAGACGAGAGTTGGCAGACGAAGCTGGCGACGGTGGTGGAAGTGGCGATGCAGAGTGGAGTTTAACAAGTGGTGCCTTAAAGGCGCACAGTAGCGGCAACCATACGCTACCCGCGATAGTAAAATCGGCATTCTCATTCCCAAGACTTCTTTCTCATTCTCCCTCTCTCTCCCCTCCGCGGGATCCAGGCCCAAAACCTCCGTATCTCACATATGCAAAACCTTGGGCTTTGGTTTATTGTCTTGGCCCATGTAGTTGGACCTAAACTGATTTAGGCCCAATTAGTTGGACCCAAAAAGATTCAGGCCTATATACTTGGAGTTTGAAATCAGAATGCTAGCAACATCCCTTTGGTGGAACGTGGCCATTATTAATAATGAAACATTTCCTTCTTTTTTTTTTTTTTTGTTTGAGGGGTTAGTGATGGCCAAGCCCAAATGACCCGATCCATGTGAGAAGTCCGATCTTAACTAAGAGTTCAGTCCTATAAAGACCCACCGAATCCAATATGATCCAAGTCCAGTCAAGCTCATCAGGGAGTCAAGTCAGTTTGGCTACGTCATCAAGAGAGCGTCTGGGAGTCTCACCCTCACCGCCTTGAAAATAGTCAACTCTCACCTCATCTATGACTGAGTCTCGTGAAAAGCACCTCAACCACCTTGTCCGTTGAGAAGAAGTCATGAGCTCCACTAGAATAGTTACTTAGTTGCTATTAAGTCGCACCAATCAGTTAGGGGGTGATTATAAATTGTAAACATCACCAACACTTAGGGAAACACACTCTCACCTAAGCACAACTCTGCTCTCCCTTTCAAAACTTGTACTCTCTGCTCTCCATGCACTCCTGAATTAATAAAGAACCCAGTGACCCTAGTCATTCAAAAATGGATGTAGGTCACATTAATCGAACTATTATAACTCTTGTCTTCTCTTTCTATTTCTAATTACTCGACAGGTAGTGTGTAAAGTCAATTTGTGTATCATCAATTAGAATCTTCTCATTAATAGATTGTAATTCCAAGTCTTATTAAACGTGTGTTTTATTTATTTATGTATTTTATAAACACGAATTGAGCTGAACAATAGCATATGCCTAGAAATCAAGCTAAACTTAAACAAAAATATTTAATTTATGATTAAATCATACTTAAACAAAAAATTAAAGTTTATAATTGAACTTGAATCGAGCCTCACTATAATGAAACTCAAAATCCTCGATCAACGTTCCTATTGTTAAGTCAAACATAGCCCCAAGGGACCACCATGACAAATTCGTATACACCATAAAAATATAGATTTTTACCTTGAAGTTGTTGAAGTTATCCAAATAAAGATATAGAGTGATAAGGATAAGATGCGAATTAGATCGCAGTTTTTTGTAAGATAACTCGAGTTTTTAACGAAATAAATTTACTAGTACAATATATATCATAGTACCCAACCTAAAAAATACAACACAACAATTCGTTATTTGCTTCTCAAAATCTATACTAACTTTAAAAACAGAAACTTCTCACACACTTTTTTACTAAGGGAGAGTTCCTCGAGTTTCTTAATGGAGTTTAAATGCGAAATTGATCTTCAAAAATTTATTTTTTGTAATTTGACAAAAATTTTTATGTAACTAATAGTTATGATTGATTCGATAGAAATAAGGAATAGTGTGCTTTTTTTTGTTAGGGATTTTTTAGTTGGTACTATAATTGCCCTTTGGTTGGGTATTGGTGCAACATTACCTATTGATGAATCCCTAATTTAAGGTTTTTTTTAAATTGATTCAATTGTGAAATAAAAGATCATGATTGAAGATGCGAGTTTTCAATTCAAAACAATAAATAAATAAATAAATGGTTAAGGTTGATAAAACTTTTTCAAGCCAAAGTGTGTATCACATGGGAATCTTAGATCTAGGAATTTATACTTCTTCCATAAAGGAGCCCTATAAAATAAAATTTAAATTAAAAAAAACTTTTCGCATAATTTACGTTTCTTTATTATTGTTTATTGCTTGCAACTAACTAGTTGGTTCATCGTAATTCTTACAAAACTACGTGTACCGCTTCAATGTATATTTGGAATAAAATTGATAATTTGATTTCTTTGGAGTGAATGATAATAATGTCAGAATTTGAGTTTTTCTAAACAATAATTTTTTTTTTCCTTTTTATAAAATATAATTTTATCTTTTATTAGATTACTTTAACAAGATACCTTCCTTTTATTATTTATCAAAAATGTTCTAACACAAGCTTGCAAGTAAGGTACATGATTCAATGAAGCTTTATTCCATTTCCATCTCCTGCATGCTTATAAATAGCTAGGTTGCTTTCATGGTGGGAAAAACCAGAGAAGAACGACATTGTCCTCCTCTTCTTGCCCTTTGAAGTTGCAGAAATGGCGACCACTGAACAACCGCCAACTCTAATGCAGCCAATAAGGAAGAGTACTGAGAGACCAATGTCGGTAGGCTTTGGCTTTGCCAGTGCAATGACGACGCAAATCGAAGCAACCCATTTTCCCGATGGCCGTGAGGTTGATGTTAAACCCATCCTCAGTGTCATTGAAGACATCCTCCTCCTTGCCACGCCTGTATGACTCTCTCTCTCTCTCTCTGGTCATATTTATGCATGCGCCTGGCTTTATTTCTTGAAAGAAGGTATTTAATTCGTTCGTATCATTTTCGAGTGTAGAAAAAAGACTACTTTGATTCCCTCATGCTAGTAGTTTATGAGTAATTATGTGATATTGTGTAAAATATCGAGAGTTGTGATTAGGAGAATGAGTTTAAATATTAAAGTAAATAGGACAGTATAAATTTAGATTGGTTCGTTTTGTCGAATAACAGGAGTACTCTTGCCCTTTGGTCTTGTATTGGTTGAGGAGGAAGACGCGTACATTAGGGTTTTATTTAAGGCAGTGTCTTGGCTTGCACCGTGCACACAGTATTCATTGTTTTTTATAATAGAAATGACTAAAATATTGAAGAAATATTTAATTGTTAGAGATTTTTTGTCTAATATTATACGTGATTTTTTAAAAGTGATGGCGTAATCTTCGGTAGATGATGAAGAAGATGGCGAAGGTTTTGAATCTTCCAAATCAGCTCGGTATGTGGTGACGAGAACAATTACCCTGATCTGTCCTTTATCGGAGCTGTCCTTTGCCTATGGTACCATCAATGTGGATTCCTAGTCTACATAATAGCCAAGAGTCTTAAAGAACACGTGGAGATGTTCACAAATAGTTCGGGATTGATTTGCAATAAAGTTCATTCAAATTTAATTATTTATTAAATAATTTGAGCTCGACCTCGATTTTAAAATTCTTTTGGTGAATGGTCCAGCCAGAACATTGTTTTAACTTGTTGAACTAAGTAAAACTCGTAAAACCACAAACACATATATAAAGTTGTATCTAATTGGAAAATTTTCACTTTGGTCCCCTCAATTATGTCCCCTATCTCACATTGCCCTTTAACTATTACAATTTTCACATTGCACCTTAGCTACAATTATGGGATTCGCATTGCCTCCTCATGTGTCACATTCCTCATATTGCATCTCCAACTATAGTTATTGGTTATTACACTTTCAGATATTAAATATGTGTATTTATTACACACCGATGTTTTTCATCCAAAAAATTACAAACGTCTAATTTGGGATAACGTGAAACTAATTCAGAAGGTTGAGGGGTAATGTGAGAAATTCAATAATTGAAGGGGCAAAGTAAAACTAGGGTCATAGTTTAGAGGTCGAAATATAATTTTTTCTATTTAATATGAAATGTATTAAAGTCTTCGTATACACCCATTTAAACTCGAGTTTAAGTTCGAACATAAGTTTGAATCCAATTCAAATGAGGCATGGCAAGTGAGCCGAGCTCGAATTTTGACAAAGCTCGAATTTTGACAAAATTCGAGGTAAGTTAAAGCAATATGTTTTGAAACTTGTTATGATCCTGATTTATGGATGCATGATAGTTCATGTTTTCATTGCATATTAATTTGTTTTGCTGATATGCAGGGCACACATGAACACGTTGCAACATTGGAGAACAAGGCCACTTTGAGGGGTTCTGATGGCATGTCAGAGCCATTGTCTCTCATCATACAAAGAGTTTCCTTCGAGGTTTATACAGACCCTTTTAAGTTTCAAGTTTCAACTTGTGTTGCATTTAAAAACTATACCATCTTGTAACAAAGGTTGGTTTATATGCATATGTATTGGCAGTTATCCAGCAATTGCTCAGGTGCGGATGCTCACGGAATGGCAATGGCGATACTCAAAATGCTTTCAAGCTATTCATGGGCGGCAAAAATGGTGATATCTCTAGCAGCCTTTGCCATAAACCATGGAGAGTTCTGGCTTATCCGTCAGCTTTATGGCACGGACCCCCTTGCTAAGTCATTAGCTGGCCTTAAGCAATTGCCTGAGATCATAGAGCGTTACAACTCGCAAAAGTCCAGATTGGATGCCATTACCAACCTTATTAAGGTCATGGTGGATGTAACCAAGTCCATGACTGACTTTAAGGAGCTCCCGTCTCAGTATCTGTCACCTGACCAACCACCTTTGTCTACTGCAATGGCTCATTTCCCCTCAGCTGTGTACTGGACTATCCGAAGTATGATGGCGTGTGCATCGCAGATTACAAGCCTTTCAATTATGAGTTACGAGTAAGCCACTGCAATTTGCAAAATCAGCTCACTTCCGATTATATGTGCAGGAGTGAGGTAACTGCTTTATTAAACTGATTGCAGGCACACGACCACCACCGATGCACGGCAACTTTCAACCTTGGCCCATACGGTCCAAAACATTCATGAGTACCTCAAGACACAGCTTGCCCTTTGCTATCAATACATAGGTAAGTCCTTAATCAATACACTATGCTGAAATGGCTACGCATGTGACTAAATTTTGCGCACATTTTCTGGTAAATATGTGGTCATCGAACATTTTGAACACACACAATGTTTTGCTTAAGTTAAGGTTGAAAAGTGAAGGTCGTGTGAACTAATCAGTCTGATGAATCAGGATCGATACCAGTCTTTATGAATCAAATTTCTAGAAATGGTTGTTCATGTAAATCTCGGTAAAAGTTGCCTTGAATTTGTACCCTGAAATTTTTTCAAGGGCTTAAAAGTGATTTTCACTATGG